GGTGATTGACCTATCTCATGGCTGACCTAGCTTGTGGCTGGCAGCCTAGGCATGTGCACAGGGATGAGTCGAGTCGAGTCAACCTCGGGTCGATCAAGAGCCAACTGTCAGGTCGAGTCGGCCCTCACTCGACCTGGTAATGTTGCTGTTCGTTCACAGTAGATGAGCACATGATGTGGGTCCTTTGCTGGTGGCATACTCGTTTTGGTTCAAGTAGAATGTTGGACTAACTCCAGTTAACACAATTGAATTGGGAAAGTCGAGTCAAAACGTGACTCGCTGGTCGCATCTAACCTGGCTGGCCTGTGGTTAGCCTTGCATTGCGTATGACTGACCCAGGTTGTCGTGACTGACCCAGCCTATGCCTACTAACCTAGCTTGTGCCTGAATGGCCTAGTTCGTAAGTGACCAAACCTGTGACCATTCTAGCTAATGACTGACCTGATTTGTGTCAGACCTAGCTTGTGCTTGACCAAGCTTGAGACCGACCTATTCCATGACAGGGCCCAAGTTCTGAGCGACTCTGTTTGCGGTTGTGTTATCCTGTGAGTGCCTTGACCTGTAAATGACATAGCCTCTGACTGACTGAATCTTTGACTGATTCAACTTGAGAATGACCTAGCTTGCGGCTGTCATAGCCTCTGATTGACCTAATCTGTGAGTGACCTAGCTTGTGGCTAACCCAGACGGTGACCAACCCTGGCCTCTGAGTGACTATCATAGGCCCTGGCTGACCTACCTTGTGGGGAAGCTAGCCTTGACTGACCCATCTTGGGAGGGGCTTTGCCTTTGACCGACCTAGACCCCAACCGGCCTAGTTTGTGATGAATTTGGAACGATCTATCCTGTAAAATTGTTTTCCTATCATATGACGATTCGATGTTTGTTTGGGATTGGGATATGGCTAGCAGCACTGAAATATCTTCTTTGTTTGACAGGAATACTGCTAGGCTACGTGCACAGATTAGTAGGGGGAGGAGGGAAGGGGGGTTGGTGGGGGAGGGGGGGTAGTTGGTGTGGTTGTAGAAACGTGTGCGAGAGAATGAGTGCAGCAAATTTTGTGAACAGAAAATGTTGTGTAAGGTGTGGTTGAGGTGGCAAAAGAATGTAGTTGGGAAGAAAGCGGGCGATCTGAATGTTCAGTTTTTTTAGTTTTTATGCAAATTTGCGAATTATTGGGTGAAGAAAGCAGTGGTTTAGTTAGACTGTTCTAATCTGATTATTGTGACTAGTGTAATCCATATTGTTGAGCGTACTGCGCGTTGCGTGAATGGCTAGCGCATTCACACTGTGTTCAGCTCCCTGAGCGTGTTTTCTAACTTGGGTCTGACTGACCTTGCTGGTGGAAGGTGAAGGCTATGGTCGAACTATCTATGACTAACCTAGTCACTGACTAACCTAGTCAGTGACTACCTTGCTGGTGGAAGGTGAAGGCTATGGTCGAACTACCTATGACTAACCTAGCACATGGCGCAAGTCCTGATGGACAAAGATTCTGGCCCTTTCTTGCGAGTGCGCCAACTTGTGACCTCCCTAAGCAACTTATAAGTGCCGTAAGTTATTTGTGGCTGCCTTAAATAACTTATAATAAGTGCCGTTGTGACTCCCCTAACCAACTTATAAGTGCCATAAGTAACTGGTGACTGACCTAACCTAACTTATCAGTGCCGTAACTGATGACTGCCCAAGCTTGTTGTTGATGTTAGTGACCTAGCCTCTGCCTGGCCTAGCTTGTTGTGTGAGTAGCTTATTGTGTGAGTGACCTAACCTGTGACTGGCCTAGCCTCTCTGACCAACCACCTTCGTGAGATGGTTTATGTAGCTGTCACACATTGTCTTATTTGTAGCTAGTTCTGAGCCGCCAGATTACCGCAATAACAATCACAACCACTTTCCTTACCACCAGTGACCGCTTCCAAGCATCATGATTCTCTTGTCTTATACCACTACTATGGCCAATGGCCGAGCAATGGCTGAGTTACGCTTGGCTCCCTGCCACACTTCACCTCACTATTTGCATTGGCCAAACCAACCCTGGTTTGTTCCTTGCAAAGCTCCAACCAGCGGTGCCTCATTTTTTTACAGGAGGAGAAGCCGCTGGATGGCAGCATTGAAAAGAACAGAAAAGCAGTACGTACTGCTGCCCTCTGTGTGCCAGCCCTCTGTGCTGTGCACCACTCAATTCTCCCTCTTCTGCTGCTCCTTATCTGCTTTGTTTCTCTCATCACTGTCTCATCCCTCACGCCCGCATAATTGGTCGTGTTCGTTGACTGACCATGCCCCTTCTCCCTCTTTAATCTTGCGTTTCTCTTTTTTCTCTCATGACACTCAACTCAATCATGCCCTACTTAGGTCGCACGTGTCTGCTTTCACAAGTCTGCAGTGAAAAAGGCAATCGAACGCAAGGTTCGGTCATCGAAAGTGGTTTGTTTGAGTGAGGGAAGTGAGTGGACGATATGGCTGCTGAGAGAGCGATGAGTTTACTAAATGGGTTGGTCAATGAAGTGGTGCTGGCACCAGTGAGAGAGGAGCTGGCTGCACACAAGGAGGAGGTGGATGAGCTGCGGCACATGCTGACTGTTGCGGAGGAGAGGAACGAGGCAGTGGCTGCTGTGATGAAGGAGAGGAGAGAGAGTTGGCAGCAGTAAAGGCGGAGTTGGCTGAGGTGAAAGGGGAGTTGGCAAAACACAAGGAGAAATAGGCTGAGAGTAGTGGGGCATCAGATGTTAGAGGGCTGAGAGAGAAGAGTAGAAAGAGAATGCGAGATATGAGATCGGAGTTTGCACGGGAAGAGGAGGGGGCGGAGGTGCAGGAGTTGTCTTGGCCACGTCCGACTGAGGATTTGCCAGCTTGCAAGGACCGGCAGATGACACAAGGTCTGAAACAAGATGTTGACCTGAAGATTCGCCAGAGTGAAGGCGATCAAAAGACTGCATGGCTGGTGAGTGCTGAGGGAACTGTTTCGCAGGTCACATCATGCATTTCTGGCTTGTTCTTTCTTACTACCATTCCTTTGGCATGTTTTCCGCCAGGCAATCAAGGCAGCATCACAGGATGCCAATCTGGTCCTGATGCGTCTCCATGGCCTCTCAGACGCCATCCTCGCCCATGTGTCCACCATGACCCATCTGACAAGCATTAACTTGGATTCTAGCTCAGGCTTCACTGCAGAGGGCATCAAGCACCTCTACAGGCTGCCACAGCTTGAGGCGCTAGATCTTGGAGGTACAGACGTCTCAGACAATGCTTTGGAAGGCATTGGGCCCTTGACCAGTCTCAAAATCCTTTCTGTTGATCAGACCAATGTGACTGATGCTGGTCTGCTGCATGTGGCTAGTCTCTCCTCTCTCAAGGAGCTGAACATTTCCGAATGCAAGAGTGTGACAACTGCTGGCATGGTGGATGTGGGAAGGTTGACAGGGCTTGAGAAACTTTGGCTATATGAGATGGCTGTCATTGATTCTGGGCTACTGCACTTGACTGGTCTCTCCTCTCTCAAAGAGCTCGACATTTTTAGATGCAAGGGCGTGACTGCTGCTGGCATGGTGGCCGTGGGGAGGCTGGCACGGCTGAGGGTTCTTTGGTTGGTTGAGTCAACAGTCACAGATGACGGGCTGCAGCACTTGACAGGTCTCACCTCTCTCAAAATGTTAAGCATTTCCAAATGCAAGGTCAGCTTCCCCACATGCACCATGCCAGCAGCAGTCACACCCACACATTTGAAAAGTTTTAACAGTTTGAGAAATGAGAGACCCGTCAGTTCCCCCAGCCCAACATCTGAAACTTCCGTCTCATTCAGCTGAAGCTCTTCCAGCCCTGTCAGCCTCCCCACATGCACCATGCCAGCCTAAGTTGGTCATTTACGCCATTTCAACCCACGTACACGTAACGTACGCGTACATGTGCGTTTACGTGTACGTACGCGTACGTACGTATACGTACGCCGGGCAGGTCAGAAAAAAAAATCCGCGATAAAATTTCTTTGAAAACGGAAACTAGGGCTGGCCTACACGGCAGTTACAGATACTGGGTTGCAGCAATTGATGTGCCTTTCCTCTCTCAAAGCGCTGAACCTTTTTCTATGCGTGGGTGTGACTGCTGCAGGCATGGTGCATGTGGGAAGGCTGACAGGGCTCGAGGAACTAGCGCTGGCCTACACGCCAGTTACGAATGAAGGGCTTCAGCAGCTGACTGCCCTGACCCAGCTGAAAAAGTTCTGGCCTCCAGAAGGGCGTGTTCTTCAAAGTGATGAGATACGCAAGCGGATCGAAGGATAGCAGGGAGTGATGGAACGGAGGAGATGAGGTTAGGGTGGAGTTGCTGTAGAGATGCAGGGAGGGAGGGAGTGGGAAGAATGAGGGGAGTGATGAGCGGGGCTATGCCATCCCACAAGAAGCCATTGTGGGCTGACCATAGTATGTGCATGTAGGGTGGTGGGGAGTGATGTGGAGGGGAGGGAAGGAGATACGTGTAATTGTGCATGTGGAGAGCCAGACCTGACAGGGCGTGTGGAACTTGTGCTGAACGAGACAACCATCGTAGGTTCTCCATCTGTGGAGCAGCTGAGTAATTTGTCCAAGCTGCATTTGCTCCGGCTGCAAGATGGGAGTTTGTGTTCACCGTGGTGCAAGCGGAAGGGTTGGTAGACTAGCAGGGAGTGATGATGGAGGGAAGTAGACAAGGTGAGAGTCGAGTTGGCGGTAATTTTTAGGGAGACGCTGAGGAGAGTCGCGAGCCAAGGAGTGTGGGAGAAGTGTGTAAATGTGCATTGACTGTATATCGCGTATAAGGAATGAAAGTTTTGACTGTACATCGCGTATAATACAAGGGAGTTCTGGATGCTTTCATGCTCCTATGCTAATATGTCTATCCTCCTTACTTCCCCAGCTCCCTTTCTCCTTTGCTCTCATGCCCTCATGATCTCATTGTCCCATGCTCTTATTTCCCTATGTTCCCATTCACTCGCTTATGCTTCCATGCCCACACGCTCCCATTCGCCCATGCCCACATTCCCGTTCTCCTGTGCTCCCATGCCCCCCATCCTCCTATTCTCCCATCCTCCTATTCTCCCATCCTCCTATTCTCCCATCCTCCTATTCTCCCATCCTCCTATTCTCCCATCCTCCTATTCTCCCATTCTCCTATTCTCCCATTCTCCTATTCTCCTATTCTCCCATTCTCTCTTACTCCCATTCTCCCATTATCCCATTCTCCCATTCTCTCTTACTCCCATTCTCCTATGGAAGAGGGTGACGCGGTTCAAGGAGCTGACCCCCCTCTGGATTAAGACATCAGAACAGAAGCCGCATAAGCACTACTGCGCTCCACTTTTCCGCTCTCCCCACTTCCCCGCAGAAGTATCCCCCTTCCCCTTTTTTCCAGACAATTTTCCCCATCCATATTCCTTTCCGTTCGCATCCTTCGTTCCTCCACCCTTTCTGCACGATTCTTCTATACCCAACAACATCACCCGCCATCCCGTTCATTCAGCCGTGCCCTTCATCCCATCACATCATGCCCCTTCGCATGTAATTCTCTGCGCAAACCATGTTCCCTCTCCATCCTCCTGTGTCCCCCTCCTCTGCCCGCAATCACATCCCATCTGCTCCCAACCATCCCAGCCGAGCAGCACCGTAGCCATCGTACCCTCAGGCGATCACCTCTCATCCCTCCCTCCCACAGTGCACCAAGATTGCCTTCCATAACCCAAGTCCCCCCTCAGGCTCCCAAGTAGGTGCCACACCCCCTCACCAAGTGCAGGGATGGAAAGGAAGTCTTGGTGGTGGTGGAAGAGGGACCCCGCATGCACTCCCACAACCCCGCAGAGGGACCCCGCATGCACTCCCACAACCCCGCAGAGGGACCCCGCATGCACTCCCACAACCCCGCAGAGGGACCCCGCATGCACTCCCACAACCCCGCAGAGGGACCCCGCATGCACTCCCACAACCCCGCAGAGGGACCCCACACACACTCCTGCATGGTGGCGTTGAGGTAGGGCGACTCAGGGGAGGTGAAGTTTGGGCCAACGGTAGAATAGAACCAAAGGTGATGTAGTAGCGGTAATTGACATTTCAGATTGGAAGGTCCTCAGCTTTTGGAGTTGGTTTGTGAGCTACATAAGGAAGCCCAGGTTGAGCAGTCTAGCAGGGTAGTATATAGTTGGGACAGCTGTGCACATGCACCTCATCCTGCACCTCATCACGTAAGTCAACCATTATCTCCTCCCACACATCTTCCCGTACCTCATCAAATACCTCATCACATACCTCATCACATACCTCATCACATACCTCATCACATACCTCATCACATACCTCATCACATACCTCAGCACATACCTCATCACATACCTCATCACATACCTCATCACATACCTCATCACATACCTCATCACATACCTCATCACATACCTCATCACATACCTCATCTCACACCCCATCCCATCGCACACCTCATCCCACACCTCAACCCATACATGCCCGTTTCCTTGATACACATGCCAACGACTATCATATCTGAATGTCTTTTTATTCATTTGATGCTTTACCCTCACAAGCCTGCCGCTGACACTCGTGCCCGCCAACACTCACGCGTACCCTCTTATTTGTTTCCTTCCCCTCTATCCCACTCCCAGTTCCTCCTCCTGTCTCCCCCTCCCCCTTGACCCACCAATCCCCCTCCTCCTTGTTGGAATGGAAAGTTGATGTTGGCAGCAGAGCGACGCTGCATGCACTTCGCCAACCCCACTCCCTCCTCCTATCTCCCCTCAGCTGCTTCTAGCAACCACCTCCACATGGTGGCATAGCGTGGAGCGAGGCGGACTCAGGGGAGGCAGTGTCTGGGGCATGGGTGGAACCAATATGCTGGTGTGTCGGTGTTTAGCACTCCAGATTAGACTATTGGTATATGGCACTGTAGTTGGGAGTGTCTTCAGCTTTCGTAGTTCGTTTGGGAGCTACATGAGCAGCCATGGCTGTGCACTCATGCAGGAAGACATAGTGGTGGAACAGCTGTGCACTGCACCTCAATACATGTCTCATCAAATACCTTATCGCGTGCCTTATTCCACACCTCATCCCACACCTCTCCCATACCTCATCCTGCCCCTCTTTTCATACCTTATCCCAGACATCACATAACTTATTCCGCAACTCATCCCGTATTTCATCGCATACCTCATCGCATATTATACATCCCACTGTTATGCTGTTTCTGACTCACTCTCGCTTCCCTTGGTCCTTTCCCTTTCTTGGACAGTTACTGCAGAATCCCCTCAAGCACACAGTGGTGCAAATTGGTGCAACAGCAGCGAAAAACGAGTCACTAGAAACCAGCCAGAGGGGATGCACTGAGTGGGTGGAGTGTGGCTGTAATGAAGAGGTGCAGTTTTATCAAATTCTGTTGTGTACCGTGTACGGTGTCAGGATTTCAGGTTTCGATGAGTCATCTATTATGAAGCAGAGCAAGGCACTGCAAGAGCTGTGCGAGGGCGCTCGTCCCCCCGTCCCGCTCGTCGCAACCCCTGTCGCAGTCCACCCAGGAAGGAAGAACCACAACCACATAGAATCTTTCATCTCCTACATGCCAGTAAAAATGCCATGTGGATGGGTGATGCAGCAGCATCTCTGACCTGTACCCTTTTCCACGCAGGTACAGGCCCACTTTTGCTTTACAGCTGCAGCCCTCCAGCCCAGCTTAGCTAACAGAATGGCAGCTAGCAATCTGCTGCACATGTGCACATGCCAATAAGAATATATCCTGATCAATAAGACTGGACCATTCTAAATTTGACAAAATTGGGGCAAACCGTAAACATCAGGTACAGAGACTACCGTAAACACCCAGATACCACCTACCGAAGGTCTTCAAACAAATCTACCACCCAAAGAGACCACCGTAATCACCCATATATACAAGCAGTGGACGTTGATGGTGATGGCCAATGAAAAAGGCCGGGTATGAGTACCTCTTTGCACATGAGCAATTCAAGCCTGCCCAGGGCAGGTGTGAGAGAGTGAGGGGGGAAGAGAACCGCGTACATGAAGGTGAAGTTGTGAGAAATGCAAGCAGACAGGAGGCCATGGAGGTGGTGGGAGAGGGGGTGAGGAGACAGGGGAAAGAGATGGGCAAACCAGGACATATGCATACATAAACACATGCACATACACATTTATAATGGAATACGCATACCATACGCACAAGCATTGGCTTGCGCATGCAACGGCAGGAAAGAGAATGCAAGGGGAGGTGGGACAAAAATCAGTAGCTCCGCAACGCAATACTACCTGTACCACCGGGGAGAGTCATGACCAATCGCATGGCATCACTGCCCTACTTCGCTCTTGCCAATGCGAATCTGTGTGACACATTGGAATTTGTGCCATATGCATCGCAGCTTTAGAGTCAAATTCACCTCCCACCTGCCACTCCCTCCATCACCTCACCTCCATCCTGCCACTCACGTTGCCACTCTTATTGCCTCTCACATTGCCACTCACATCACTCACATGCCCACTCACCCTGTCACTGTTCTTCCCACTCCTCTTCCCGTTGATCCTGCCGGGGCATGTGAGCTTGTGGGAGGGCCAGTGCACCTTTTGGCAGTCCCTGCTGCAATACTTCATTTTGCCACACCCACCGCACACACGCCCCCCCGTTAACAGAGGACCAGAGCATTCAGCATTAGAAGCGGGTCTTGCTTTTACGGCTCCTGCAGCAACCCTTGGTGCAGTGACAGGGATTGCAACATCGGACAAAGGTGTTGCTGTGGGAGCGTTTCCTGAAGCAGCAGTTGACGATGCAGCACGGGTGGAAGGGGCAGCAGGGGAGGCAGGGCAGTAGCACAACTCCCCCAACAACATCTCTCGCAGGCATGCCACCAGATTAACTCCCCCCGGCCATGCCTTCAGATAAGCTGGCTCCTCCTCGTCCTCCTCCCCCCCCTCCTTGCCCTTCTTCTCACCGATGCTGCCGCCGCTCCTGCTGGCCTTGCTGCTTCTCTGAGTGCTGCTGCCACATCCACTCGCAGACCCACCTTGGCAATCTTCGTGATGCCTCGGCCTGCCAGGCCCAATATATGTGCCGCTTTGTTCCGACACATAAGCCGGCCAGGCATACATTGCCATATTGCACCACAACCAGACCTCGTCCCACACCTCCGGATCTTCCCACGAAGACTGTTCCCTACCTTCGTCATCCCCACCAACTCCTCTGCTTCCCAGCCTCCCTCCTCCACCCCTCCCGTTCGACCCAGCGCCTCCCTCAATAGGCCTCCCATCCTTGAATACCCCACGAGGAGCCATCATTGGTCCAGTCCACTTCACAGCAATCGCAAGCAGCATAGTGAGTGGCATGTGCTCTGCCAGTTGGCGCAACCACCCCAGGGCCTCCAATTGGGCCGACCGAGTCACTCCCATCTCCACGCGGAAGGCGTTGGCTAGGGTGCAGAATTCTTGAGAGCAGGGGGGGAAGATGGAGACGAAGCGGTTGAAGAGGATGGAGACGGGGCGGTAGGCGAAATTGGCAATGAAGGCGACCAAGGAGATTTGGGAGGTGTACAGGTCCATGCATCTTCTGCACTGAGAGCATGAGGGCGGGGTGATTCGGCTAGCAGCAACCTCCAGAATATAATCCACGTCTGCCATGCAGCGAACAATGGGATGACGGCTTGAGGTGGGCAGATGCGAAGGAGCGGGAGTGGGCTGATCGTTGCTGCGTTCCACGCACACCGTCTTCCTCTCAACCCTCCTCTTACCTCCTGCCTCTGACGATGGATTAGAGGGCCTTCCCTTGCCTGCTTCTGCCGTCCCACTCTCCTCCACGATCCCCTCGCCAAAGAAACTCTTCTTGCAGTCATCAGGAAGCTTCACAGCAGCTTCATCACCCTGAGGCCACTCCTCCCACTCCATGGGAAAGCTCCTTCCCTCCATAGGCTTAGGGACGTTGCCAAACCTGAGAAGCAGGCTCGGAAGGTCCCGCAACGGATGGCGCATGGGCAGGACCTTGCCCTGTGGGCTGTCCTTGAAGCATCTATTCGCTGAAACAAAATCTGAGCCATAGATTCGGACCCACTGCAAGATGCAAGCAGCCCAGTACGTGAAAACAGCAACACCAGGGTGGGTGTTGACAGGCACGAGGCCAGAGCTGGTAGACGCATCTCCACTCATGTCAGAGTCAGAAGCTTCAATGCTTCCAAGCGAACCACCACAAGCATTGGAGCTCGCTGCCTGGGCAGCTGCTGGCGGGAACGCCGCCGCTGCAGCTGATGCTGTTGCTTCCACTCCGGCACCCTTTCCCCGTGCTCCTCCTCTTCCTCCTGCTTCCTCACTCGCCCCACCTGTCAACTCCACACGCCTTGCTCTCTTCCTGGCCTCCTCAATGGCTGCTGCCTCCATCCGTGCCTTGCTGGGGTTGATGGTATCCATGTAGAATATTCCCCCTGCCATGCAGCACTCGGGCTTGGAGAGCACATTGGCGACTGCCAGGGCGAAGTCAGTGGCACCCACCCCACTCAGGTACATGCCTCTGGGAAAATCCTTGTCTTCCCCAACACTGCTCACATTGCTGCTGCCCCTGTTGCTGCTGCTGCTGCTGCTGCTGCTGCTGCTGCTGCTGCTGCTGCTGCTGCTGCTGCTGCTGCTGCTGCTGCTGCTGCTGCTGCTGCCACTGCTGCTGTTGCCACTGCCGCTGCTGCCACTGCCGGCGCCGCTGCTGCCGCTGCTGTTGTTGTTCTTGTTGCTGCTGCTGCCCCCCTCACTGCAGTGGCTGCACCTGAACTCCCTCCCTTCCCCCCCTCTGTGCTCCAGAATCCGAGCCATGCCATCCACATACCTCTCCCACACACGCCCCTTCAGATTCTCCCTCCAATGCCCACCTTTCTCATCCTTGCCATCCCCATCACTGCCATCAAGCCTCTCCCCAGTCTCACAGGGTACTTCAAACCTTGAGCCATTCCCCATCAGCATGCCTTCCAGCCTTCTAGTCACGCCTCCCTCCCCCACCCCACCTTCACCAGCTCCCACCATCTCACTCGTCTTCCCTCCTGACCGCACGCCCCTACTGTTCCTCACCACGCCCATCAACACCTCTACCTCCTTCCTCACCTTCCACACAGTGTCACCTTCCCCCTTGGCTCTCCCCCTCCCCTTCCCCTCAGCATGCGCCTTCTCCAGCCCGCCTGACAGCAGATGTTGCACGAAAAACCCAAACCCGTCCTGCAGATCAGCACTCTCTTTCACCCCGAGCACCTGCACCAGCATGGACGCAACACAGTCGTTCTCAACTTGCCTGCCCGCCCCCAGCTCAGCCAAGATCGCCTGGTAGGCGCCAGCCCGTGTCTCTATGCGAGTGGTCAGTAGAGTCACAACCCGCGGCCACCTCGCCACCAGCACGAGGAGGGCAGCGAAGCTGACCACAAGGCGGTAGGCAGCCCAGCAGCTGCTGCAACGAAAACAGCACGACCACGCTGCAGCAGCAGGAGAGAGCGGCGCAGCAGGGGTAACAAAAAGGGCAGCAACAGCTGAGACATCTGTTGCAGCATCTGTAGCAGAAAACATAGCCAGCAGGCGGGATCTGAGTCTCCCCAGGTCCATGAGCACGCCCACACAAGGTTCTGCCATCCAGTCCTTAACCATGGCTTCCGCACAGAGCAATGGCGCCAGCTCACACTTGCAGCAAAACTGCACACGAGGATCCTTTCCCCCCTCCTCCCCAAACGCTGGAACCCTGGAGGAATACTCCAAAGCAGCCCTGCTGACCCTGGTTGGAAACCCAGGCACTCGAGGAACGGATCCCTGCTCCACTTTGCGCATTTCGTCCTGGAAACCCTCGAGGTCGGTCAAGTAAACGCCGCACTGAGCGCGGTAGCTGACAGCACGCTCCAAGCAGCACTCGCACTCACCCACACCACACCCCACCCGCCTGTCACGTCCAAGTAGTGCACCATGTCCGCCCGACACAGCACCTGACGCTTTCCACGTGTGTCTTGAGCTTCCGCTTCCCCTAATCCCCGATCCTTTTTCCCCTTTGCCTTCCCCACTCCAGCCACCTCCTTTGTAAACTTCCACCTTTTCACAGCCTCCTTGCACTTCTTCCAAATCTCATCGCAAAGGGCCTGTCTTTCTTAAAGCCACCAGCACCACAACCATCTTTCCCCTTGGATGCTCCAACAGGATTTCGAGTCTATTTTCTTCCTCCACCACTCTCACGCGTGTCTCTTTTTGCCTTTTCTGGTTCCTCTTCTTCGTCATCGCTGCTGGATTCGATGTGCTGCCACTTGCTATAGTCGATTCCACGTGCCCTGGTCACAGCAGCGGGTGCGGCAGCAGGTGCAGACCCAGTAGGAGGAGGAGAAGCTATAGCGAGAGCAGCAGGAGGTGTAGCGGCAGCTAAGGCTGTAAATACGAATACGAGTACAAATACGAGTCAGGGAATCTTCAATTTGTCGAATAGAGGGGCTGATTTGTATTTGATCGAATTGTGGCTCTATCTCGAATACGAATACGAGTCGAATATGCACGAATACGAATCGAATAAAAATGTAAACGAGTAGGGGTCTGTCGCCCCAGAGATTTATGTTGTATATTTTTAAAGTTCCAGTTTTGTTTGGGCAGGTCCACCAAGAATAAAAAACACATTCACATTTTTGTTGTGCCGATGTTTGTACGATAATTGTTGTCACTCTTGCGTTGTGAACCACCTAGTGTATTCTTAAATCAATCATTTACACCCACTGCACAATGTGCATCCTTTCAGTACCGATCAGTTATCATTTTTGATCAATTCAAAACATAACCATGTGTAGCCCGAATTGGCTCAGCAGGTAGCATAATCAGCGGGGTTAGGTGTAGTCTCCAGCTCGGTACTCGGTGTAGGATTGTTTGTAGATGTTTCGTTTTAGTGAACATTGAGTTGGCAGCCATTGATTTTCTATAATACAGTTAATCACTGCTGCCATATTTTATTTTCTAGGAACCTGATTGATTGACGTCCCTACCTTTGACACTTGAATCTTGCTCAACAGGTAGAGAACTTCTCGGAAATATTATTCCACACCAGTCACGGCTCTAAATGAGCCATTAAAGAAAGAAAAAAAAAACAATCCTAATCACTTTGGAACGCTCCAAACAATGTTATGAGAAGATTAATACAATCAACCATACCAACCAGTGCTCAGAAGATGTGAGGATCGAATCTAGACTAATCTAACAGTCCTCCACCCATAGCTCCAAAACTATCGTAACCATCTACCAACAACCATGACTCTACATGATCCTACACAACATAATGGAATTCCCGACGACCACACTCAACAAGACTCTACAAAACTTCAGAAGAAGAATATATCATCTTCCTCACTAATCAAGGCCATAGGCACCTCTAAAACAAAAATGAAACAATCAACCGTAGTGATTAATGCTCCAAACATTTCTAGAACAACAAAGAACCAATAATCAACACTAATGAAGGCTCTAAACAATGGTGGAAGAAGTTTGAACCAATGAATGACAAGATCAAATGCTCGTAGGATGGGTGGAACAAATCTAGCCTAATCTAAGATTCTACTCATAGCTCCAAACTACCCTAACCATATAGAACTAAACCATTAGACAACACTCTTAACTTACTCCTTCCTTTTCATCCAAAGTCATCCACGAGCGCAAGCAAATGCATGCACGTACCGTCTTAAGATCTAAACTATGACGGAAATCCGTAATGACATGACGCGCTATTGAAAACGAGCGCTCGGAATCCGCCGAAGTTCCCGGTATGGCAGGATAGTCGCGTGCCATGTGCGCGACAATGGGAAGAAACGTTGCGTAGACTTTCCACCAATCCTTGAACGAAGGAAGAACCCCATCGGGTCCGACACTTAATCTCTTCTTTCGAAGGTAGTCATCCAATTGAGAGTTTACCTCCATGGTCTCTCCACTCTTGCGGCAATGGAAAATGGCACCAAAAAGAGGTGACCGTTTTGGTTCCTTTGGGGTGCTTTGAGGAGTTGCGGTGGGGGTTGAGGCGTTGATCTCGGCAACTTCTTTTCCCTTGGAATGTTTCTTCTCGTACTCCTTGTATGCCTTGGTGATGTAATCTCGCACACTTGAGGTTCTTTGATGATCACCACCCAAGCTCTCACCATCGGCATAGTACTCAAGGTTGAACCTTGGGTCCAAAAGCGTGGCAATTGTGTACTCCTCCGATGTTCGGTCATAGTACCCCTTGAGCTTCTCAAGACCCTCCTTGCACGCCTCCCAAAACTCCCCCTTCTCCTCCCCTCCCCTCTAAAATATCCATTAAAGCATTGATAGATAGTACACACAAAGACAAGGTAGGGTAACTCGAGCCCTCTAGCATGTTTTGAATCTCGGCAAACGGCGCAAGAAGGTTCTCAAGGCGCTCGAGACAATCCCACTCTTCACTCCTCATCCGAAATTCCCGTTCCACATCGTCGTCCACATCTTCCACCAAGTATGCATTGATGGCGGGTCGGAGCAACCTTGCCCTTTTCATCAAAAAGTGGGCACTACCCCAACGGGTAGGGGTGTCATGGGCAAGGGATGATATGTTGTGAAGACCCTTCTCCTTGCACCGCATCCAAAACTTCCCTTTCCTCAAAGTAGACCCTTTGAGATGCGTTGCAAACGCCCTTATATTCTTGAGAGCTTCATCGATCGGGGGGTGTTTCAAGATTACTTCGACCACAAGATGGATCACATGGTTGAAGCATCTCATGTGCCTCTCCGCGGGAAACCCCTTCTCCACCCCCAACAAGTCGATGAAGCGATTGTTGTTCGAGGCATTGTCCAAGGTGATGGCCATCACCTTCTCCCCCAACTCTCAATCCTCGTACACGCACTTCACAAATGTATCCTTGATGGCATCGCTGTCGAGATTAGTTAGGAAGGAATGATTGAACTATCGAGAGATGTGGTACAAGAGTGAAACCTAAGGGGTTGTACCCCACAGTATGTACCCCACTAAGCCTACCCAAACTATAACATATAAATATATGTTTGACACACCCCCATAGGCAAAGTGGGGAGAACAGAGGGTCACAAGGCCAGTCAAGAAGTGCAAAGCAAGCTCAGGGTGGATCACAACGTCACCACACAGTCTGAGCACAAGCAAAAGGCCACAAGGCCAGTTCACATGCAGAGATATATATGTAACAACAACAGCACAATGATCTCTACCTAGCAGAGCAAGCAAGCAGGTATATATATATAAAACACAGTACAAACAAAGTCTACAGCAAGTGAGGAAAAGTGGGCACAAGGCCTAACAAAGTGCAGAAACGCTGATGATCACCAGACGGAAGTGCCTTGGTGAATATATCAGCAGTGTTGGCCCGAGTGGCCACGTGAGCAAGATGAAGCTGACCACGCTGCTGCAACTCTCGAGCCAGGAAGTAACGCAGAGCGATGTGCTTCGTTCTGTGCTCCAGTCTGTGCTCCTGACACAAGGCAATGGCGGCCTTGTTGTCGACGTACAGCACTGGAGGAGAACGAGGCCGCTCTCCCAAGTCGGTCAGCAGGTAGGCGAGCCAGCGTAACTCCTGTGCAGCCATGGCTGTGGTGTAGATCTCAGCCTCACAACTGGAGCTGAGAACAAAAGACGAGCGTGTAGAACGCCAAGAAACTGATCCAGAGCCAACGCTGAAGGTGTAACCCTGTGACGACCGCTGCGTAGCCTGGTCGTCAACCCAAGAAGCGTCTGAGTGCCCAGTGAGGACAACTGCGCTCCGCCCTCCAAGCACGAGCCCCATGCCCGATGTACCGCACAAGTAGCGCAATACCCTCTTCGCAGCATCCATGTGCACCTTTTGGTGCCGACCAGGAGCCACGTAGCGAGCCAGAAGGCCAAGAGGGTACGCAAGGTCAGGTCGAGTGCAGGTCATCAGGTACATGAGGCAGCCCACTAGCTCTGGATACGGGCCACTCGGCTCTACGGACTCGTCCAAAGGTGGAGCTGAGAGCGAGTGGCCTGTAGCCAGAGGAGTGGCCTGTGCTGAGGACCAGGTGAAGCCGAAGCGCTGAAGGACCTGCTGCACCATGTGTGACTGAGTCAAGGTAATGGTGCGCCGTGCTCTATCCCGGGTGATCTGCAAGCCAAGGTAGCTGCGCAGTTCACCCAGGTCTGTGCACGTGTGTCTCTTCTGCAGCTCGGACTTCACGTGGGCGAGTCCAGCAGTGTCAGCAGTGGCAAACACCAAGTCGTCGACGTACACGAGGATGTAGAACGGCGGCAGCGAAGTGTCGGTGCGCAGAAACAGCAACGGGTCAGCAGTAGAAGGCGCGAACCCAAGTGCCACAAGAGTAGTCCTCAGTGTGTCGTGCCACTCACGTGGCGCCTGGCGGAGACTGTAGACCGGCCGCCGGAGGCTCCACTGGGTACCAGGAGGAAACGACCCAGTGAAGCCAGGAGGGCGGCGCAGCCAGATCTCCTCGTGCAGGCTGCCCTGCAAGAAAGTTGTGCTGAAGTCAAGAGAGTGAAGCTCGTAGTCACGCTGAGCGGCAACGTGCAGCAGCACCCGAAGAGTGGTCACCTTCCGGGTGGGGGAGAAGGTCTGAAAGAAGTCTACTCCCTCTCGCTGACTGAAACCTCGAGCAACGTAACGAGCCTTGAAGACAGGCGGAGAACCTGGCGGCCGCTTCACCCTGAAAATCCACATGCCACTGACGATGTTCACCCCAGGAGGGGGAACCTCGTCAACATAAGTGCATGTGGACTTCCAGGATGCCATCTTTGCGTCCATGGCTGTCTGCCACTGAGAGGAGTACTCACCCGCGATCGCCTCAGCGTAAGAGCGCGG